TATATATATGGTGAGGAATGAATTTACAGCCAACACTGTGCAATTGTTCCATGCATTGTTGCCGACTCCTTTCTCGAATTTCTCATATATGCATCGACTCTTTTAATTTAGTTGTCCAGTGGCCTAATCCAATTCAAATGCGCTTACTGTGAACAAGGGCCTGTTGCTCAGTGATGTTTGAGATATGTCCATAGTCTCTGGAAAATTACATCAATCACGCTCGGAATTTCTATGGGTATTGTCTGCCCTGCAATGCAATCATCCGTTTGGTGGAGAAGAAGGGTATGAAACTGGAAACTGGAACCCGGAAACTAAGCTCCATCCCTTGTCATTACTAGATAGCTTGGATTGGTAGTTGCAAACCTTTTCCCACCCGATACTACAATAAATTTATTTATATTCCCTTGATTTGATACACAAACACACACCTACGGCTAACCATGAGTTTGTATCAATTTTTGAATTATTCAGATTCTTCGTTCTCTCTGACAACCTCGTACGAGGCTTTGAATGGCGCAGCCTCTAGGACTTAGCGACTATGCTTGATCTCACAATCCTTTGTCCACGAAGCCTCCGTGCTTAATCTTGATTCGCATACTTCCAGTTATAGATTCAAACAGATGCCATGCCTTATTATTGAGAACAATGCTGCTGGATAGCGTTATTAATCGCTGTTACGAAAACATGTGTACTTGTGATATATACTCTGTGTAACCAAAAGCATTACTAGATATTGCACTTGGTAGTAATATGCGCACGAGCCACAAAAACCAGACAATCATTAAGTAAAATTGTTTCACCAATATATCCACCCACCAACTAGGGGTGCATGGAGTAGACCCACTGTTTTAAACAAACATGGACAACTCACCTTACGGCCATAATTCACCATTGGAAATCGGCCATTCCAGCTAAGTGGCTTAAAGCACACTTGCTGCAGTTCCTTTGTGTATGTTTGAAGCCTCAGCCTGGCAGATTGCAGCAAGATATTTAAATCTCTCTAAGGTATGACTGCTCAATCATTGAACTCTGTACCATATTACACCCTATTACATATTGAACAACACTACCCCCTACTGAATATACAACTTCACCCAAGCAACCTAAACGAAAGCCGTTCCGATTTGCCGGGCCACATTCGCCAACGACATGGCTTATCAAAGACTAGACCCAACGACAGATATACTTGGCAGGAAAACCCCTGGTACGTTACACATCCTGATGTTCAACAAACGTGGATGGAGATGTCAGTCAAGCGAGCTAATACTTTCAGCGACGAATTTTTGCGTGGTCATAAATTGTGAGGAATGGAGGGAATCCGGATCCCTGAGATGCAGAGGACATAGGCAAGGTAAAGCCCCTAACCTTACATTGCGATCTTATTCCATCTCAGATGCTGACCTGTTGTGTCGAATGTTGTAGTTCAAGCCACATGTTCAAGTGAGCAGTGCAATGGATCGGCCCAATATAAATTTGAGGGGAAGATCTTCTGTGGCAGACACTATCGAGGTTATATAATCCGCCGTTGCGGGTTTCAAATTAGTCAACGTAAGCAATCACCTGGGTCCAATGAGGAGCGGAGTTAGGCATGACTGACAATTCCGACAGCTAGCTGCTTGGAGACTGAAAAGAGAAAACATAGTATCGGAAGTGTCACAATCCACGTCCTACCCGCCGAGGGTTGTTCCAGAGAGCGACCTGTCCGTGTCCTTATATGTTCTCATTGTGGGGCATCGAAGTCCACAATGATGAATGAGTTGTCGACTTTTAAGCGACAATATTTCCATGCGACGTTTTACAGCTATCTCTGATTCAGTACAACGAAGATATGACATGTAATTATCAAAGTATTGCGTTTTCAATCGCCGACACCCCTTGGTATAACGTGTAGGAAATCCTATGCTCGTGCTACTGTTGCCACTGATCTAAAAAATGAAATACTTTTCTGTAGCTGCCACAGGTTATATTTGAAGCTTGTCGGCAACTTGTTGGAGGCTCGTGTTACGAGAGAACAATGGTTCATAAAAAAGGCAACGCAACGGATTCGTGGATGTGTAGGTGGTGTAATCAGGGTACAATTACGCCACTCACTTTTGTACGATATGACGTCTTCCATTCTGAAGAGGACCCTCCCTGCTAGACTGGGTCTCTACACATCGCAACTTTGGCCTCCGCGGGGAAGGACCAGTGTGTGAGTTTTCATCCTGAACTATTTTTTTATCTCTGTACGCGTGGATCTATCATCAGAACGTATCATTGCCAAAAGGTATATAATTGAGTGGAAATCTGAGTGGTTTATATAGATATGCTATGCGGGATCAGGAGGAAGCACGCCACGTAACAGGTAATGCCATAGAGCCCAAGAAAGTATCTTCAACTCAACTACCGTAAGAACTCGCGGATAAGAAGGCTTGCAATGCAAGACAGTATTCGAGTATAAGACGGTTCTCTTGAGGGTAATTTGTATGAGAAAACCCTCGACACGGTGTTAAAATGACAAAATCACATGTTTCTTTAGTAACACAAGACAGCATTCTTATCCGCGAGTTTTTACGGTATGTGTTTCATCAAAACTCTGCGCTCGATACACTTGGTTTAATATGCTGATATAGACCTCCTGTGTTATGGGTGACAGATTTCTATGGCGGTGGAGTTTAAATCAAATCACGAGACGTAGGTTTAGTATTTCCGCAAAATATATCCATATTTCGCGTTTTGAATTGATGAGAGAGCTCTGGGGACCTAAGTTCAGGGTAACGCCTCCAACACCATCACGAACACATGAAATAAGTATTACGGCATTATGGAGTGCGTAACGAATGGGAATCACCTGTCAATAGACGACGTCCGCCAAGTACAAATTCTTTTTCTCGTGCATTTTCATCTGCTGGGGATGCCAAATCGAGGAAATATGTGCAAGATAAGGTCTTGTCAGATTCTCTAGCCCGCCATTTCACTTTTCCAAAGTGCCAGAATTTCGCGGTTTTATGAATCCGATTAGATCAGATTTGCATTTCAACATTCGCATATCCGAATCCTTCTAATGAATATCTTTATACAATACTGTCGAGACCCCGGTTCCGACCGTGCGCGTGGTTACGACCGCCAGTTTACATACAAATTTGACCAAAAAATGAAGTTTTGAAAATTCAAATAAAATGCTTGGTGCAAAGATCTTTTGGGGGGAGATAATATAGGCCATGAAAAGATTATTCCAGGAAAACCAGACTATGCTCATGAAAACTGGTTGTGTGGTTATGTTTTTGGTTGTGAATTTAGCCAGGATGCATTTTACATACAAATTTCGCACTTTTTCGATTTTTATATTAAATTCAATTGAAAAGCTATGGCTCTAAGACTTTGCACCCTTTTTATTTAGGTTCATGTAGAACTTTTGCAGTTCTGTGGGCAGCGATACACCTTCTAGTATGCTTGTTCTCATTTTTGGCCCAAGAATTGTACCCACAATTTAGAACTCATCAATAATCATGCTTGTTGATGTAGAATTAATATATATTGCACATATTGAGCATAAAAATTGATTGGTCTAGCTACTATGGCCATACGTTGAGTATTAAAAGAGATATAAATTGTCAAAAAGTGCGAATTTTGTATGTAAAATACATCCTGGCGAAATTCACAACCAAAAACATAACCACACAACCAGTTTTCATGAGCATAGTCTGGTTTTCCTGGAATAACCTTTTCATGGCCTATATTATCTCCCCCCAAAAGATCTTTGCACCAAGCATTTTATTTGAATTTTTAAAACTTCATTTTTTGGTCAAATTTGTATGTAAACTGGCGGTCGTAACTAGGCGCACGGTCGGAACAGGGGGTCCGACAGTACGCCTTGATGATTATTTAGCAGGACCGAAATAAGGGTCAGCATAACCATGACCGTAGAATTTATGTTGAACGTTTGCCTGAAATGGCGTGCCGAGACCTCAGGGTAATCAGTGTATGAGCAACTATTTTATTGTTAACACTAGGTTGAAATTTGCCAGTAGATTTGCGGTGGAGCACAATACCTGGCATAGATAAATATCGTTTACATTGTTGCAACAACACCATTGCATCCAAGGTCTCGTGAAGAAACTTCAATTGGATGCGTGCCGCGAGTTTGTATTTGCTTGTCTTGTATAACAAGACCGAACTCATAATATATGCGATCTTTGGTAGTATAGTGGTCAGTATTTTCGCCTGTCAGGAAACGCATGTTTCCAGCCCGCGAGAGACCGGGGTTCAATTCCCCGCCAAAGAGGATTGTGTTTAAATTTTTTTAATTGTTCGAAATGCGCAAAGGTTCCTAGGAGCCGATCACATCAATCTTTCCTTTACGACCTGTGTATGGTGTTTCCATTTGTTGTTTTGAGATGGGATTTGACCGATTAAATCCATACTCACAGCATAAGTCTCCATTCGGGTTTCATATCTGCTTACCTGCTTGTAACACTTCCACTGCAGGGCACAATTATCAATATTTCTCGTACGTGTACCTGTAGCCACCTATTGCCATCAATGATTATTGCAAACCAACTAGAAATTCACAGAGATTAATGGTCATCATTCGATTAGGAACAGTAGTTTATTAGTTCGCAACTTTCTCTTTACAATTGCATCAGATGGTTGCAAATCCCTGCATCGTCTACACTTCCTGTATCGTCGTATATTAAGCCAGCACGACATAAACGCCTTCTAAAATAAGGTGCAAAAAGACCAACGAAAAGTAGACGACGAACGAGGATCAAATTTTTCCTTACATACTGTGCTAGCTATGCTGAGAAACATTCGAGGATACAATGTTGACTACCTTTTGCTGGTACTTAGATAATAGTTTTCAGCTTGCCCGCAAAATCACTATTACTGCACCTCGGTTGCAAAAGAATAATTCGGATTCACATTGCCTTCACGATATCGAGTACATTCATCAAAGATCTAGCAGTCATCGCAATCCATATGAGGAGAGAAGCGATGGATACCACAATCGGCAAAAAAGTTGACCAGTGAGTGATTCGAACACCCAGCCTTTCGCTGCCCATCCCAATCTCTTCAGATGGAACTGGAGGCGAACGCGCTACCATTGCGCCAACCAGCCATTCATGTGTATATTGTCGCCTAACCTCACCATACTCCTGCTGCACGAGATAAAGTTCCCTGATTTTCACATCTTGAACCCGAGATCTTGCTAACATGAATGATAATTAGTTCACTTCGTTGACAGAAGAGTGCATTTGCGATGTTGCAGTTTCTGTGCGTGCAAGATGCACATATCGTTCGGAGGGGGGTTCACTCTCTTGTCACTAGATGTAAATCAAGGGGGTCGCAATTCGTTAACACGACACTTCAAGTCACTGTTGTTCGTGAGGGACCAAGGATAAGGACAAGTGCGGGGGCTTGACGAGCTTCGTACTCCCTTTGCTTTTGTCTCACGCGATCTCCAGGTAACCAATAACCCCTCGTTCCATTAGCCCTTCCTCAAAAAAATCTCGAAGACATTGCGCCGTGCATCGCTTCAATAGACATTGATGTGGGCCTTGCTGGTATCGGCTCTTGGGAAGCGGTCCAGCCCCCATTGAACTTGCAGGAGATCGCCGACGGATATACAACAGCGCTTAATATGAAACTCTGTCCAGCACTGATCATAAAGCGGATCCTTCTTGTGCCTATACTTCCACCAAAAGATTTCAACTAAGGATTAAAACGCCTGTTCGGGTCTCATTGTGTATGAGAGACCCCCTTGATACACTTCCCACTTGCCTTCAATTAAAGTAGCTAATACGATCATTATTGGACTACTTAGTGCCACATGGGTGAAAAGTATTGCCCAAACTATGGGGTTGCTAGAGAACAAGGAAATTCAACAAGATTTTGGTTTGTTTATAATGAAATTGAGACATGTTTCAAGCTTGCAAGTCAGGCCCCGATACAATGGCCAAGTCCAGCTCCCGAGATGGCGTCTTGCAGACTATATATATGGTCATTCGCACCTCGCCTCGGTCATATATCTCGCTTTTGTGCTCAAACTATTTCAGAACCACCTCCCCAATTACGTTACATTAGGAATACATTCCCTTCCATTTGGAATTAATAATACTGCCGCCTATCTCTCATCGATAATAGTGTCGTGCAAGACATAACAATATGTGTAAGTATCTCGTAGCCCTATATATCCACGCTTCACTGATTAAAAACATACTGATGAATTAACAGTCAATTGGATAAATTCAAGATGCAAAGTAGAGGGCTGTGGGGGCGACCGACAACGTCTTCGAAATCCTAAATATTGCAAGTATCATAGAGGAGGTATGTTTCTCATACCATACCCCATCCTCCCTTCAAATCTCGTTGTGTCCTAATTTATCCTCTTTCATGCCTAGGCGGGCCCCCTTGTGATCAATGCGATAAAGACGCTATATGTAAAATTGACAGAACATATTATTGTGAGGCTCACCATCACGGGCCACTACAATTACTTGCAGGGATCAAATATATACGTAAGTTTTGGAATGACTCTTGATGTTGACTGCGTGAAATGCTAATGATATTGTATTGTGTGTAGATCCTCTTTGTCATGAGAATAACAGAAGACACAATGTTGCGGGTGTTGTGGTCCTCAGTATTGTTTGTAAGGAAGATTTACAGATGCCAAAGCTGATATGCGTAGAGTGTGCAGCAACAGGGCTGGCACTTTTTAGTACAATGAGTAATACGGAGATAATGGGCTTGATGAATTATTATGGGGTTTATGCATAATTACATCTGCATTATTGGGTCAATGTTTGTTAAAGATCCTGCGGCTGTATTCTTCTCACATCTTTAATTGGAGCAAAGCTTGTACTAAATTTAAAACTCTTCTCGGGGTTGTACGCATGCCAGCGACGTCTATTAGTTATGTTGTTTGCAGTGGACGCCGAGTTATTCATACCGGCAACCGGCAGTTTCGGAATGGTTAACAGCGAACGCCGAGGTTTTCACATGATCGATCCATAGGGTTACAAAGTGTAAGACAGCCAGTACTAGATGTCTTGATCACCTCAATGTTGAATTGAGGGCGTGCTAGCTTATAATTATGTACCATTCTGCAAGTCATTCAGAAGGGTGGCCATATTATTCTCAGATGTCACTGATATGACCGAGCTTCCGCTAGCTGTGATCACCTTCTTAGGTTTCCGTCAAAAGCCGGCGAATCCTAACCGCCTATGATAGGATCATAGACTGGAAAACATTCATGCACTATTGTACTTGCTAAAATACCAAAACATTGCAAATGTGGGAGCTTAAGAACATGAGGCTAGGTTTGTAGGATGTCTGTGAATGCCGGTTGTTGCTGGCCGAGCGGCGCTTCCCACGAACAAGTCTTTGCTTGAACGATTCATTTGTTGTTGATTGAGATCTACCGAGAGTGAAGGTTGCCAATACATAAGGATGTAGAATCCCTGTTACCGTAGAAATTAAGTACCACGTAAGACAGCTGTCTTAATCAAAGTGGACCTCGAAGATACCTCGGAAATCATGCCTTTTGTAATGTCGCACGGTTTTATACGCGAATTTCTACGACAGATGTGCTTGCCTATATTACCACCAACTTTGAAAGAATAAAAGAAGATCATACAAACCGCTTTTGCGCAACGCCCTCGCATTCTCCCCGATCCCCGCAACGAGTCCCCCGCACCCTTACCGCCTTCAGGCAATGATACGGCCGCTCAAAGTAATAATTTTGAGAATTTCGGAGCTTTATAAAGAGCAACCTTCCCCCCCCCATTCTCCCCCCTCCCCTCCCCCTCTCCCCTTCTCCCCACCCCCGTGTCCTGTTCTGTATACGAAAGTACCCCGGACTTCATTATCGCCACCGCCCACAACATACTTCCTATGTTGATAATTAGCCATGGTAGGATACAACCGCTCTACAAGTCCCCAAGTCGCTTACGCCATACCAAATTCCCATTTGGGAAGTCGTAGGATTTTAAAGACATATCGTACCTGGCGCCTCCGGATCCACGAAGAACATCTATCAATAGACATCCGCTGGAAAAAGGTAATCGTTCCTCGACATTTTCTCAGTATCAGTTGTCCTGCACATTCCTACAAACCATAAAGCAATTTCAAATAATAATGCCGGTAATGTTATAAAAAAGGAAAATCTCGGGGGGGGGGGGGGGGGGTTTAGTCTCCTCGAGTCGTGGGGCTTATAGCATATGAAAAATAAATACAACAATTGAAAATTGCTAATAATAGCCATCTAAGTATGCGAGAGCGACAGCGAAATAAAACCACCGCCACTGATAGCACACGCAAGCAAAGAAAAGATAGAAGAATTGAAATGAAATGGAATTGTAAACGGAAAACGCACCGCATTGGAGCTCATAATGGACGGATCACAGTAAGAGAAATTTGTAATAGCGGAAGAATACCGACAAATAGCGATGTGGTGGACAACACAACGACGGCGGTGACGCATGGAGGATATCGATTATTATCATCATCCTCATCCCCATGCCGACCCCAATTTGGCGGTGATCATTCTGCGCACGAGGAAAAATGCAGATGGATATGATGAAATTCACGAAAGTTACCTAACTAACTTTCACTGCGGAATTTATCTTTTGCGAAAGGGAACGGTCATGTTGCGAGAATGTTTCACGAGGCATTAATGATGCTGAGGAGTGAGGGTTTCAATTGGAAATTACCGCTCGTTTGGGCGCCGTTCACACAACATGCTGCTTGAACAAGTTGGAAATAATTGTAGGTAAGTGGATGGATAGCACACATGTTAGTTCGGGGGAATTTTCGTTCTGTTCTTATCATCGATATTGCAATCAGTGTCGTTGAAATTAACATGGTAGTGTTGCTTGGACACGTCTATGCACATTCTAGCCTTATCTAGTTCCCAGCTTCTGCCCCACCCGGCTTACTTCTCGGTACTCTAGTAGAGTACTAGCCTTAGCTCAGAAACTAAAAATACCATGTCAACAATTTTACATTTTAATCCTTTTCTTTCTTTTCCCTCTCATGTCTCAAAGCTTAAGATTTTTCGCTTCTGTTTTTTCTTTTTCATTCATCTCTTCTTATTTGTTTGGGTACGAGAACAGTTTCGCTCTTGCCTTCCCGGATTTCTTTCCTCGTCCTTCTGCATATTTCTTTCTTCTTAGGTACTCCCTATATATATTTTGAGAGATTAAATGTATTTATTATGTATATTTTATTTATATTATTTCGCTTCTTACATGCAACCACCATTGCAAGTATTGACCTCATCTTCCATAAGTACTTCCTCTGCAGGTGCGCCCTCCCCTCTCCTCGTTCTCTCATTCTCGCAAAAGTTCCGTCGATAATCGTATCATCCGCGGTAGACATATGTATATGTACATGTTGTTGTTTAGTCTTCAACATCGGGTCTTCCTTTATATTTTACACATGCGCCGCTGAGTATACATTTTGCTAGCTATATTTCGAACTCCGTCTTCAAAACTCCCTGTACATCATAATTATATGTCTGTAATGCTTAGCGAGATGTACAATTATGTTGAAATTACTTTTCGGTATTTGAAACTATAAATATAATATGACCCAAAGATATACCCCTCGTAACGCGTGCTTTTTTTCCACTCTGGGCTTATTTCATTGCTACTTGCTTAAATTTCGTTGCTCTTCAATGTGATTTTTGCTTTCTCCGGTGGTACCGGTACTTACGGTATACAAGTATTCCTCCGCACTCGCTTCCGGATCCGTCGCAAGCATATCTGCAAAATTAAACAATAATCACCCTATCCGGTAATCAACCTCTTCGGTATATCATTTTACATAGAACTACCTAGCAAAGTCTCAGATTGTGATGCGTACGGCCATTACCATCCGCATATAATACTTCCAAGCAGACATAATATTCATTCCATCACAAACTACTTAGATTCGTATCGCCGGGTGAGTTTTCAACGACAAGTCAGGTACCCCTGTATATTGCATGCATATGCGTTGCTTACTAGAGGTCATACCAACATCATGGGACTAACCAACATCAAGTAAGCACAAGCGAAACCTGATATCACCCAGCCGATCTAATCAGATTCTCCAACCCGCCAAATCAAAACCGCAAAA